ATATATAGCCAAGCAAAGGTAGATAGATTCAAAAACTAAAAAAATATAGTACCAAGATTTATTCACACTGATTGCTGTCTCTCTGTCAAGTTTGTGTCAGCCAGTTTTTAATAAAGTACTTATAGACTTCAGGATGCTGGACAATAGCCTCTGATGTCAATTTATGAACAGTATAATATTTTAACTCTATTTCTATGTTAGGACATTGACTTTCACCAAAAATGCATTAGCTTTCATTGAATTTGATGTCCAAGTGAGTGTGGGAAAAGAGCATTGACCTAATGTATATAGGAGTATTGACCTATGTATATCAAACAACTTGAGTAGCCAATGTGCACTCTAAAACCAGTGACACGAGGCTCCCAACAGCACGTCCACTGTTTTCGCTGTGACCCACCCCAAGTGTCCTCGTGACCCTGTGTGATAATCCAAACATTATTTTATGGCCACGGCGGCTCTAGTTTCAGTCTAAAACACTGAGTCACCGCTGGCCAGTGGGACAGCAGGGCCTGACTGAGACAAGCTGGACAAGCTGCAGACCTGCTGTCTTTGGAGGCAGGACTGATAAAGTGGACTGTTCGAGTTCACAGTTTAGCAGACCCTTCACCCTCAGAGATACTGCTTCACCACTCACTCACCCCCACTGACTAGGATGATATAACCAGGGGACTGATAAAAAGAGAAGGGAGGAGTAGATGACAGAGAGGAAAAGTATGAAATGAAAATAGAATGAACAGTGAACAAAGCTGCAGTTGATTATGACCCCATTTTGGCTATGAAGACTGGTTTCCAATACTGTCAAGAGCCTCCACTGCTCAAATTTCACATAGAGCAATATGTAAGCCTCAATAAAAAAGATAAAAAGATAAGACAAGGTAAACCTATTAATCCCCAGCAGGGAAATGTGTTCTTTGCAGCAGCACAATGACATACATCCAGATATGTAGTGAAAGTAAGAGAAAAATACAACAAATCTATGTAAACGGCGATCCAAGACTAATATGTAATCCATATAATGGAAGCTGTATTAATAAAGAGCTGTATTATTAGTATAATATAGAACTTACAAGTCAATGTAACACTAGCATGGTATTATATAATATAATAATTGATGATAAAAATTGGGACCAGCTGCTTTGTTTTTTGTTTCATATTCCCCGAAGGCCTCCTCTCTCTTTCTTATCTGCTTTCTGGCCAGCTCCTGCCTGTCGACTGGAGCTTATTGTGCTGTCTAGTGTGTGTTTTTAGGAGTAAGGCCGGCCTAGCTAAAGGCCATGATCTCATACTAACAGAGAAAGGTCCCTTTGACTGATAATGATCTGGTCATAGCTGCCATAGCTCAAGCCCATACCCTTATACCCCTTCAGGCTGCTTTCATTAGCTCCACCTATATACTGTATGTAATACTCTGCTGTGTTTGTCTGATGCTATCAATGCGTCTGGATGTGCCTATATGTGCTCAAGTGTAAAGCGTGTGTTGGTTAGTGCATTTTTATAAGCACATACATGCAAATGCACAACATTTTCTTTAATAATACAGTACTTATCTCTGCACCTGAATGTGTTTTTGGAAGGATTTTATGTGTTTGTGTGTATCCATAATTTTATTGCAGTAACCCTAGTCCTGTTGTCCGATGACTGGACATTTTTGCTCAGTTTTCCTTTTTCAAATCACAGGCACCCTGCACTCCAAACACATACACATAGACACACACCATTTCTGCATTTGTCTGTCATCCGCATATCCATTTGTCTTGACCCTCCATTAGTCAGTTATTCCGTTGATTTACACTATCTCTTACTGTATCAAACGACAACACGGTCTCATAATCATAATATACCTGGGCTGACTCGGAGGCTTTCATGCACACACACAGATGCACATTAGTGTAGAGTAATATACCCATCATATCTGCTGGTGCTGAAGGCTGCTGTCATGGGCAGAAGGTCATTTTATGATGTGCGTTTGGGTCTGTGTGAGAGAGTGATGGCAGACGAGGAGGGAGGCGGGTTCTTTCCGCTCTCTGTTTTGTGTAAACTCCGATAGCAGCGGAGTGCCAGTGACAGACTGAAGCCAGGGGGATTTTTGGGATCATCGGACGGCTCATCGCAGAGTGTTGGAAAAGCTGGAAAGGTGTTGAGATGTTAGTGGGTGCAGATTGCTCTGAGAGTGTGAGAATACCATCCTTCAAGGAGGAGTCTTCTTAGTTCTCTTATGCCACCATTCAGGAAAATAACATTAAATAATTATATATTTTTATGACTAATTAGTATGTGTGTGTGGTTAAACTTGTTCTAGCCACACACCCAACACTGAAAAGAGCTTATATGTCTGGATTAGTGTGTCAGGCTTGATTTGGTACTACACACACACACGTCTATTTACAGCTCATGAATAAGGCCTGTAATAGTTTTTCCTTTTCATTGATAATCAGCCCACATGATTGAGATCTGCGCAACAAGCCCGCTCCCACAATTAACACATGACTGTAACTGCACGCTCTTACTAATGCATGTGCACATACATTATTAAGCTGTATTTTTAGCCCATGTCTGTATGTGTGCTTGTACATTTGTGTGCGTAAATATGCACATGCATGCGTGTATGTGTGGGAAAATGGGCTGGCGGTGAGGTGGAGCATGAAAGTGATAGTAAACAAAGGCATTATCAGTGATAAAGCTCCACTCCTATTACGTGGCTATTTGACTGTTTTACTATGAGAAAAGCACACAGAGAAAGTGAAGGCCAATTGGAAGAAATAGTTGTTTCTTGGAGGCACAAAGAGATTGCAGGGTGCAAGGTGGTGGTGTTGTTGAATAGGAAAGGAGAGAGCGAGTGAGGGAGAAGAAGTCAGGCAACAAGAGGGGTGTGGGAATGGAGGTGTTTAGGGACTCCCTGTGGACTGACTCCGACATGGGAACACACAGTCGCCCCTAATGAAGCATGGCCACCCCTCGCTGACTTCACAGGCCTGGGACAGAGAAAAGGGAGAGGGGGTCATTAGAGAGAAGAGGAGATGCAGATCTGGGACAGGTCCATTTTGTTGATGCACCACAGACAGATGGTACGGGTGAAATAAAGATGAAGACCCAGAAGGTTGAGTAGGGACTATTCAATCATCACTGTTCTCAGCAGACTAAAACAACTAATGAACTATAAGTCTATCACACTGCTACTAACCTTTTTCCATCCTGTCTTGCATTATAAGACACACCCTTCACACTCTTTGTGCACTTTTAAATTGATTAAACTATTTATTACTACTTCCCTATCTCCTCACATATTTGTGACTACAGTATTTCTGTCTCAGTACACTTCATAGTCAGTATGTATGTTGGTGTACATAGTAAATAGCACTTTTTATTTTTCATTTTTTTCATACTTTAGTTTGTTTACAGTAGACGGTCATAATGTATAAAGTCTTCTAGTTTTTTTAAGTTAGCAATTTATACTATGCTATCTGCTTTTGCACTTCAATTTCCCTTTGGCAGACTAGTTTACCAAAAAACTTTTATGCCTTCACAAAACTGCCAGAAGGAAAATAACTTCCAAAAAAGAAAATGATTCTCGACACCTTGGTTTGGAAAACATTTGTAAACACAACAAAAGGATTCAAGCTTTTACAACCACAGACACGTGGCAGGCAGTTTTTAGTTACTGAGTGTTCTGAACTTGTGTCAAAATGTGAAAATCTTCCTCTGTTTGAAATGCACACAAAGACTGCTGACATACACTGTCTTTCTCTGTCACTCTTGTACATGTACACTGTACAAACCATTGCGTGTCAACATGCACAGTTGCTTAAGATACCCAAACTAAGTCTGTCATTATATTGTCATACTTGGACTATTACATCACCAGTTACCCTAGTTGATGTGGAGGCAGCCGAGTGGCATTTCCCTCTAGAATAGTACCATTACACAAGGTCATCATCATAACCCAATCACTGGAACTGCCTCTCCACTTCAATCAGCCTATCTGTGGCCTGTGATGTGAAGTGGTTAGATCAGCCACCACTCTCGGTCCTCTTTTCCTGTCTGGAAAACAACACAGCATGCTGGCTGTTGCTCTCATTGATGAAAAGAGAGAGACCACAATATGAAAGAGAGTAAGAGGCAGAGAAAGAGAGAGATTTGTCAGCCTTGCCTGTGTTTGTGCAAGTATGCCTCCTGTCTAAGCCATGATTTCCTGTTTGGTTTGTTTACTACAGCCAGCTCTACATTCCTCCATTCAGTTTCCTCATCCCTCAATCTTCTTACCTCAGATCATGAGAGGAAGCAGGTGACTGTGGCCCTTGTTTAGGCCTGCATGGCTGGAAGCAACTATTTTGCTAATTGATTAATCCTTAAGCTTATTTCTTAAGCAAAAGTGCCAACCATTCTCTCATTGCAGCTTAACAAATATGAGGATTTGCTGCTTTTCTTTCTCAATGCAATAATAAACATGTTATCTTTGAGTTCTGGACATTTTGTTGAACAAAACGTAATTCGAAGACATCCCCTTTGGCTCTTGGAAACTATGATGGGTGTTTCTTTTGTTGAAGTGCATCAATTAATAAAAAAAAAGCTGATAAGCAATAATGAAAATAATTATTAGTAGCAGTTCTTGTCATCATGGGTTTAATGCTATTTTCTTCTTTGATAATAATCTTTTTATTATCTTTATTGTGCTTCAGTTCCAAGCATTGAGGAATACAAACCAGTGAATGTCACTAAATCTGCATTTATTTAACTTAACATGTTCAACAGGTGTTTTTCCGGACTGTTTTCCTAACCTGCAGATAAAGATCAGTGGACAAACTCTCAACACAGCTCGTCCATGCTGACCACTTTTGCTGTATAATTGAGCATACTGCTCCATCTAGTGGTGCCTTTGAAAAACTTGAACCCATAGACCATAGAATAAATTATTATCTAATAATTAGTATACCACATGTTTCTGAGTATAATTTGAATGTCTCTTTCTTATTTCTTTCTCTTTCTTGTCTCTTTGCTTTCAGGATGCTGATCCCTCTGTTTGATGATGACACTGGTCTGCTCACACTGGCTGGCGTGGTAAGATATAGATGGATGCCCCTCTATTATGCGTTCTGTCAAGTGAGGTTTTGTATAGTTTTATCACAAGTCAGGAATTCAGCAGCCTTGACAGCAGTGTAGGTCTTTACTGCAATGTATCGTGTCTGATATACTGATGTTCTCTCCTGCACAGGGAGACACTGTAGTTGATTGCTTTGAAGTGTCATCCTCCGAGCCTTTCCTCTCGCAAGGTAAAGCTTGGTCATCTGTTATCTGTCTGGTCAGATTATTACAGCCCCCCTCCTTCTAGTATCTGATCTCTCTTCTTTTTTTTGTCTCTACATTTCTCTGTAGTGAGCCACTGTCTGACCGACATCTCAACACGAGGAGTCGCCATGATACCCAAGCTGGCACTGGATGTCATGTCCTGCGAAGTGATGCGTGTGCTTCAGCTGACAGACAGCTGCATTGTGCCAATCAGCTATCAAGTCCCTCGCAAGGTGTGTTATATGCACAGCAATACTGATATGCCAAACCATACAGCAGAGTCATAACCTATGTGCATAATTTGCATTGGTGTTTTCATGCATGCATGTTTGCGTGTGCTGCTTTGTGTCCCAGCATTCAGGGCAGGAGTTTCATGACGATCTTTACCCGGATACAGTGAGTGCAACTCCAGCCATGTCTGCTGAGGAATGGTGGCAGGGAGGGAACAAGCAGGTAAAGCATCTCGACTTTCAACAAGTTTATCTGGTCCTCACACTGTTCAGACACCTCTAACAATTAGCTCTGTTTGTCCTCAGGTGGAGAAAGTCAGCCTCCACCCAGACAAACAGCCCAAACAGAAGGCTCCACCAGCAAAACAAATGCCTGCAAAGAAGGAGCTGGTCAGTGGAGGAAGCAAGGAGGTGAGAGACACACATACTGACCATCAATTAGGAATAATGGTACTAGTGGATTCTCACAGGAAATTCCTTCACAAATTGGGGGTAGTAAAAACTTTCTAACTGCCACCGTATTGTTCTACAGGATCCAGCACGTGGCTGCTCCACCTCCAGTAGTCCTCTGACCACTCCCAGTAGCAGCGCTGCCCCATCCCGCTCTCCCTCCTCTACCTCCGGCCTCTCCTCAGGCTTCCTCCCCAGCCCCAGTCCCAGCCAGAGCACCAAGGCCATCCACAGCCTGCTGGGTATGAACACAGAACACACACACACACACACACACACACACACACACACACACCTAAAATCTCTCATTCTTCATCATTGTGGTGTCATTTTATAATAATGTTTCTTTAGTGACAAAGCTGTTAATTCAGAATTATTTTTGATCCAGGACCAACCTCCAAGTTCCGCCACATCGCAGGCACAGTGATGCACCGGGACACACACATCACTAACCTGCGTGGCCTCAACCTGACTACACCAGGCGAGTGTGACGGCTTCTGTGTGAACCGCCAACGTGTGGCAGTGCCACTCGCCATCTCTGGAGGCCAAATTGGCGTCTTTGAGGTACGGGGCTGGAAATTACTATTTATGTCATGTTGATTTAGAAAAGCTGTGGTTGGTCTCCATGTTGAGTGTCTCTTTTCTTTCCCTTGTACTTCAATGACTGGAAAATGAGACTACTGTGTGTATTCCTCCTCAGCGCTCTCAGCCTGGCAGGCTGCCAGACACAGCCCTGTCCACCATCCAGAACTCTGTAAATGTGGTTGACCTCTCTTGGGACCCCTTTGATACACACCGGCTTGCTGTGGGTTAGTGAATACATGTACTGTATAGGTGTGAGCATTTGCAGCTGTATGGTGTACTGACTGCTCACTGTGTGTCTTGATAAGTGTGGGAGTATGATTGTGACATGCGTATCTCCATCTTTCTTTCTCTCATCCATGGTATAGCTGGTGATGATGCAAAGATCCGTGTGTGGCACGTACCAGAGGGAGGGCTGAAAGAGACCCTGACTGAGCCTGAGCTCATCTTGCAAGGTAAGTCAGGATCCACTCACTGAATTCACCTAGAATTTTAGTTTATTTAAACATATTGTTGATTGAGAAGCCTGACTTATTTAAGTATCCGGCCATATTGCACATATTCTCTCTCTTTTTATATTTGTATATATATCGGCTGCTTTTATTTGTATCTTCTGTTATGCACCAGCTTACCAAGTCAAATTCCTTGTATGCGAAAACCTACTTGGCAATAAACCTGATTCTGATTCTGACATACAACAGTTAGTGCAGCACAAAATCTTGCAGGACTTCACTGAAAACATCTACAGTATAAAAACTTAAGCTTATAGTGTGTCTATGTGAATTGTTTCATGTTGATGAGGTGATTGACAGCTGCTGTGAACCCTCTTAGGCCACACGGAAAAGATTTACTCCATCAAGTTCCACCCTCTGGCAAGCGGACTGCTGGTGTCTTCATCCTACGATCTAACAGTCAGACTGTGGAACCTGGAGAGCGGTGAGCAGGTCAAACTCCTCACGGGACACCAGGACCAGGTGGGTGACCAAGATTTGGTTTGCTTGCACATACTGGAATACATCAACTGTGCATTTAAGTTGTTGAGCTTTCTTGTTCTTCTTGTTCTTCCTTGTTTCCTTTTGTGGCGTATATTCAGGTCTTTGCCATGGCGTGGAGCCCAGATGGGAAGCTCCTGGCCACAGTGTGCAAAGATGGGAAGGTTCGCATCTATGACCCCCGCAAGTCCACTGCACCAGTGCAGGTATGTGTGACACATTGGAGAATATGGCAGGATACAATTTTTAAAAAATGGTGGAAAGGCAACCAAAAACAAAATATTTTTGATATATGATTTAGAATAGAGGCATCCCCAGACATGAAGCAATGCACAACATTGTTAAATCACTGAAAAATCACTGGTTCTTTTTGGTTCACTCACTAATGAAATGCACACACACTTGCTATTTTCTGTGTATTTTTTCAGGAGGGCCCAGGTCCTGAGGGCCACAGGGGAGCTCGTGCGGTGTGGGTGTGTGATGGCAAGTACCTGTTGGTGTCAGGATTTGACAGGTACTGAACATCATTTTTTATTTAAAGTGTCATAAAATACTTAAATTATGTATGGAGGTGAATTTTAAGACATCATAATTACCAGAGCATCCGTGGGCCAGTGAAAAAGAAAAGCTCCCCACTGACTCTTTCTTGTCGTCCTTCTGCAGTCGTAGTGAGCGAGGGCTCTACCTGTACTCTGCTGACTCCCTTTCATCTGGAGCCACAGCCAGCACCCTTGTAGACATCTCCCCCTCTACCCTCATCCCTTTTTATGACCCCGACACCAGCGTGGTCATCCTCACTGGAAAAGTAAGCAAATTAGAAAAAAAACAAACAAAATATAGTTGCATATGAGGTACATTTGAACCAAAGTTGACAAGAAAATAAGAATTTGATGTAATCTGTGTGTTTCATTTGTTTTCCAGGGTGATACCAGAGTGCACATTTATGAGGTGCTCCCCGATGCGCCGCACTTTATGGAGTGCAGCAGTTTTAACTCTCCTGAGCCACATAAGGTACTAAGCTGAACTCTTAATGGATCAGTGAGTCAGCATACATCTGCACGCAGCCAAAGTGCTAGAGCGGTTAAAATATTCTCCTTAAAACCTGTGCCATCTTTGTGATGCTGTGTGTTTTTTATCAGCTAAACTCTTCCTGGTTGTTTCCAGGGCTTGGCCTTTCTGCCCAAGACAGAGTGCAACGTGCGCGATGTGGAGATAGCTGTAGCACTAATGCTCACCAAGACAACCATAGAGCCAGTGGCCTTTAAAGTACCACGGGTCAAGGTGAGCCAAATACACCACATAGTGGACATTCAGAAATACTGTAGGCCTTTCTTTGTCATGGTGGTCATTTCTAATAAATGGCTATGGTTTAACTATAGAAGGTCTAACTCTGTGTATGTGACTCTGGGTCTCCAGAAAGAGTTTTTCCAGGACGACTTGTACACAGACACAGCAGTCTGTTGGGAACCGGCACTGACTGCCTCTGCCTGGCTGTCTGGCTCCAATGGGCAACACAAAAAGATCAGCCTGAAGCCTAAAGACATGACACCAGGTGCGAACACAGACCAAAGAGTCTGAATATGCATGCATACCATGTGACTTTTGTCTGACAACTCTCGATCTACAGGAAGATGCTTACCCCTACAATCAACATGTCGGTATTAGATCCTGGTTTGATGCTGTGTGTGTGTGTTTTTATTTTTATTTCAGTGAGTGAGGCCCCCAAAGAAGCTCCGGTTAGAAAATACTTGCCCTCATCTGTTTACCTAGAGGAGAAGACTGATGAACAGAAGAAAGAGGAGGTGAGAATGAGCTGAAACACTGCACACTTGTGTTTCTAGGTGGTGTCATCCAGCAGATCTGATCTGGACTGTTGTGGTCTCTGGTTGCTGAATAAAAGTAGCTGTGTTTTTCTGATGTTTTTAACATTGAATATATGTATGTTTGGCCCAGCTGCTCAGCGCCATGGTGGCTAAGTTGGGGAACATGGACGACCCACTGCCACAGGAGTCCTTCGAAGGGGTCGATGAGGACGAGTGGGTGAGTGAATGTGATGGAAACAGTTGTAAAGATGAGTTTCGACTCTAAAAATCAAACTTATAGATAATAACAGCTAATTATCGCCAAGCTCTAGTATCTGAGTGAAAAATGTAATAAAGAGCTTAACATCAAAGGTATTAACTTACTGCGAAATTATTACATGTCTATAATACATCTTACTAACTAACTGTGACTCTTGTGTCGTCCAGGATGACTAAAAGGGACGGGATTTTTTCTTCGGTTCAATCGTGGTGCCAACAGCAGAGAGGAGGGAGCAGATCAAATGTCAAATTGCCATGTGTGGATGCAATGGTGCCACCCACACAACCTCTGAGCTTAATCAGCTAGCAGCTCAGCCTACTGCACACGCAAGGAATACTGTACAATGTGAAAGTGTCAATGATTTGGGAAAGAAAATCACAATATCTACTATATCAGTGTGTATCTCAATATCTGTTAAGGTTTGGAAAATCAAATGTCATGTTGTCTAGTTGGTGTTCATCCTGTCAGACTGCATGAAATTGGATATGAAAATCATTTTTAGCTGTAATTCTTAAATATTTCAGGAATCATTCCGGGATAAATCTCACATAGTAACTGCTTTATGTTAATGTAGACTGCAAATAGTTGTGTCACATTATTGATGATAATTTCAAAAGCAAATCCCACCATGCAAGATGAATGATTATACATGTATATACAATCATATATGGGGACACCTCAAACATATTTCTGATAAACCACGGGTGTAAGTCATTGAAAGGGGAATTAAACAGCAAGCAATCATAGCAATAATACTTCTGCTTTATGCGACATTACCAGTTACACCGATGACAAATAACTTTTTAAAAATTGATTTTGGCACAGCTTTTCTCTTTGTCTGTGGTATGTAGCCATTGTTTAACACTCTGAGGTGTCCCAATATACAAAAAAAAAAAATAATAGCCTCTTCCTAATGGCTCCAGTCTGTTATTTTCTGATCTCAAGATACCAGGTTGTGTACCATTGCATACAAAGTTGTTACATGTGTGCACATTTGCCTCCACAGTGGACCACTGCTTGCTTTTTCTACTGGCCAGTCATATGAGCACGCTCAGTCACAATGTGTCTTTAAAAAGATGTAATGTTGCAAAAAATATTGTTAATGAACATCATGCATCTGTAAAAAAAAAAAAAAATGATAATAATAACAACAACTCTGTCTTCCTGTTTAGTCAGGTAAAACACACACATGAATACTGTAACATGTTGAAGCCTTCAACAGCAAAAACCACACTGAGGATACAACAGGGTCACCAGTGTTCATGGTTGGCCATGAACTGGAATTTATAATGACAACAACATTAAGTTCACTTTTCTTTGTTAGCCAATGATAGAATAAGATGCCATTTTAAAATGATGTGTTATTGTATTTGTAGTTAGATTTGATTGAATGTTGCCATCCAGCTGTCATATAATAGTCTTATAAGTAGGGGTTAAAGGTAAATGAAACTATGATGTTGTTATGCATTGAAAGCCAAACCAGAGGGGCCTTTGTATACTCTGAGATAAATGTTTCCTTTCTTTTCTTTTCTCGTTTGCCGGGCAGTTGAGTTTTTAATCATGATCTTTGTTGGTTTTCAGACTGTTTGGGGATATTCCTCACTTAAATGAGCTAATTTTCTTATCTAATGTTTACTAGAAGTAAATAATCATGGTGTTAACTAGACAATAACAGTACAGTATTAATAACTATAACAATGCAGCCATAACAGCCATCATGTAATCTACCGATCAGGGCTACAGCAATATAAATATCAATAACCCACGGAGTTTGTTTACAACTTCTGATGGACTGAAATTAACCATCATTTCAGCCATGCATGGTCGCGCGCATCTTGTTGTACACATAAACTGCAGGTGTTGTCAGTCATCAGTGTTGTGATGATGTATAATTTATGTGCTTGTGATTCTCGAATGCCATACTTTGTAATGTTTGGATTGGATTAACTTCATTCCATTGTGTTAACAAAGGCACTTCCTTTTTATACAGTGAGTAAAGCATTGTTGTTCTGTCTTACTTGAGTAATGGTTTGTGGATTTTTTTTTTTTTCAATACGGTCTTGCAATAAACACCCTTTGAACCCAGTACTACTTGTTCTTTTGTGATTAAGTCTCAGTGAATAAATGTTTGAGAATGGATCATAGATTGAAGTGATTTCTGAACTCGAACTCATTAAAGTGTCTTTGGTGATATTATGTGGGCTCATATGGGGCACAGGAAATAAGTGCATTAAATAGTGTAAATATACACAACAACAACATTTTACTAAAAAGAATAATAAATTCACAAATTGATTTCATTGTTTTATTATAGTTTTAGGTGCCTTTTTTACATCTGACCGGGGCCAACAGATGGAAATAAATCAATGAGCATTATCTTTAACAAATAAACTAATAAAAGGAAGTGTCATGCTAGCATTATGGCTGATAGTATAAAACATTTAGAGGCTACAGCTGCAGTCTTCAGTGGGGAAATACAGATATTTAAAGATCCCCTCCAGACATGTATTAAGACATGCATACAGATAGTCTGCTCGGAACAATAATGTGTGCCTGATATGTTCTTCCCACAAAAGAAATGTGTAATTTCCACATTCAAATCCTTAAAAGTCATGTCACCTCATTAAGAATTACAGAATCTATGAATATGCAAATATTGTTAATTATTGAAGTTTTCCTGCTGGTCAGTCAAAGTCCATTCTCAGTGTATGTGCACTGAACCAGGATGAACTTCTAAACTATTTGTGATTCCCCTTAAAATCAGATTTTCAGTGAGCACAGAGAAATTTTCTACTTTCAGCAGCTGAATGTGAAAACATCCTTCTAGTGTGAAACTCAGCACATACATCATTCTGCACAGTAAAGATCAAACATCATACTGTAGGAACAAGAAGAAAAACATATTTTTGAGTTGAGGGCATTGACAGTATGACTGAGGGGGGCTGCCAACCATCAATGGAGCCCATCACAGCACTCAAAATGTGATTTATTGCAGAACTGCCCTCAAATATTTTATTTTATATTTCTACTACATTTAAATTAAATTCATGTGATACGTCTTTCTCATCTTAGAAGCATTCTCCAATGTTATGCTTTATTAATTACTTATAAAGGTATATTAATAGTCAGGATCAATGTGCGGACTATACCATGGCTTTCAGGGGAGCTAATTTTTTCTACTATTGTGGGAGGTATATTTTCTAATATTTTCTGATCTGCAGTTAATGATGACTCACCTTTGTGTACAAATCATACATCAATAGTAAGTTTACATATAATCCAAAACTAGAAATGCATGGCAAAAATAACACAATGCAGTTCCTCCGGGAAGTTGCGATTGCAACAATTAAAGCAAATTTAACCAATCCATGTGTCTCTTGCCTTCAACTTGTAATGAATTGTTTCACTTTCTCCTGTAATATCATTGCAAAAAAAATGCCTAAAAAACATCTCAACACAAACACAACATTTCACAAATGGTGTTTTTTTGTTTTATTGAGAGGGAGCTGAACAAGAAGAAGCTGCAGTTCGACTTCCCTGCCAGTAGGTGTCAGTATTACAAATCTCGCCAGCTACTTGGTTCATCTTGAGTTTGGTGTTCTGGATGCTTCCTTGAACTTTGACCCTTCAATAACCTTCATTGGCGTACATGTGTGAAAATAGAAGCCGCACACTGTCCGAGGGACCGGCATAATGGTAAGAAAACACTTTATAATGCTCACGTTTGTATTCCCCAGTGCTCACAGCCGACGTTAGCGAGTCAGAGGAGTGTAATGCTAAGTAGCGTTAGCGTGAGTAGGTTCGCCAACACTCTTACACAAGGTACGGTAGTTGCCTCCTCTCCACTAGGACACTGTTTATTTAGGGACAAAGTAATAAACCAAAATGTAAGATAATTCGTGTCCAAACAGGACGGGAGCCCGAATGGAAACGCTGTCACAATGTGAACAGCTGTAATGAAGGTGCTTCTGACATCCGCACCTGCAGACACTGACTGACTGACCACTGACTGACTGACTGACTGACTGACACTCGCTCTCTCTTTCTTTTGGTTCCCATGACTGTCATTGTTAAATCACTCGTCTTGCTTTTTGTGACCCCCTCCCTCTGCAGGCTAAATATCTTGCACAGATCATTGTGATGGGAGCACAGGTGGTGGGACGCGCCTTTGCTCGCGCTTTACGGCAAGAGTACGCAGGTATGATCTGTGACGTGGTCATGATACGTAACGTTAATCAATTAAAACATGTAATATGACTGCTGAGACACATTGCTGAATACTCCATCAGCCGATTGACAGATAATCAATTTGTTGTGTGACCGTTTTTCATTATCATTACCTTTGATTCTTCTCTGCTTTGTAATGTGAATGTAAAATCAAACCTTTCTGGAAGTTCAGGAAAACCGTGATGGGAATTTTTGAGTATTTTCAAACATTTTTAAAGCAAATGTGTTGTTTAAAAATGCTCAACAGATTAAACAATAATTTATTTGTTGCAGAAAGGTTTGATATGACTGAACTCTTCATAATGCTATTATTACATGATAATATATTGACATTGTTATATAACGTTATATATACAATCAGTATATATCATGATCTGGTAATGTATGCAAAATCATGTTACAGAATTAAATTTATGTTCAAATAAATAAAATGCTCCAATGTTTACATCAGACCAAATTATTTAATTACATTATAAACTGTACATAATTGTTCATTTGTACATCAGAATATAATACAATCATATCATCCAGATATGAGTTTGCCCCAATGATAAATCCTCGCCCAGCACAAGTGTGTAATGAAATTAAGTTGTGAGTATCTGTGTGTGTGTGTGTGTGTGTGTGTGTGTGTGTGTGTGTGTGTGTGTGTGTGTGTGTGTGTGTTTTATGTTTTCTCTTACAGCCAGTCAAGCAGCAGCACAGGCCAGGGGCCGTTCAGGTCAGCAGTCTGCTGCAGCCTCTAGCATCAGTGGGATGAGTCTGCAGGAGGCGCAGCAAATCCTTAATATCTCCACACTCTCTCCTGAGGAGATTCAGAAGGTACAAACACGCTCTCTGTTGGTACGAGGCCACAAAGCCATTAAGCCTTTTCTACCGTAGTGTTTGCCAGGTCTTTACAGGTTTTTCTGGCCGTGCTGCCCTCTTGGCCAGGTCGCTCCAATAAGTCTTTTACTTGGTTAAATAAAGGATACATGTATATAATATGTTGATTTGTAGCTTATTCAAATCTCAAAATCTATATTTGAGATGAACCATTCTCCCTTTGGACTAAACAGTGGTGTGGTCATAAACTATTGTTAAGGTTAGTCATATCTTTGATATCCAAATGCGCTGCTTCTGTATAACAGTTGCAAAGTCCATATTTAAGAATGTGTAGCTCTGTGAGTGAACACAAGAAACACGCAATTTCATTTTCATGTGAAATTGTGTTTTTTTTTGTTAATTTATTTGACCATCCATCAACATCATCCACATTTTTGTTTACTGTAACAGTGGAGATATTGTGTCAATATGCGTCTTTGCAGTTCTGAACACTAACACTTGGGTTTATCTCTTCCAGAACTACGAGCACCTTTTTAAAGTCAATGACAAGGCAGTGGGCGGTTCATTTTACCTACAATCAAAAGTAAGTGTTCTGTATCCTGGGATGTGAGGCAGTAAGTGTGTTTTAGGGTAGATTAAGCATGGTGTAGAGTGGAAAATTGTTTTTAGCTCACCAAAATATGAAAACGGCCCAAAAACACTTACAAAACAAAAATGGTATCAGTACACCCATCAGACTAAATAGTTTGAAACATACTGTAGTTTAAGACATTAACACATAAAATATTGATTGTACATAAAGGAAGAGAGCTGTCTGTCAGGATGAACTTGGCTTTCTCTTGAGAGTACACAAATCACTCAGCTTCATCTGACAGTCCAGGCTGACCAAACTACGATAGGAAGTTAAATGTTGGCACACGCTCAGTGAGACTTTTGTTTTTTCTGTGATTGACCGACCAGCTATTTTGTACATTTCTTAAAAATATGGCTTCTAGTATTTTCAACGAAGCTCAAGTGGCAATGTAGGGCTGTATGAAGAACATTAAACCTTTTTTTTTTTTTTTTGCATTTTATTTTAATCTTCCTTAACGTCGAGTTCACACTACTACATGATTTACACCCACAGTGTTTTCACCCTCAGGAATTAGATGTTTATTGTGGCACAGGATACAGTCATGTAAAGTGCCTGGTATTAGCGCTTGTGCTGCTGGGAACAATGATACTCAGCAGTAGCTTAGTCACTCTGTTTACTTGTTTTGCTCACAACATCCAAACAAATAATGATCAGTTCTCTTTCTGTCTGTGTTAAATATCAAATTATGACTCATGTGATTCTCACTGTGTTGGAGGAATCCGTTCTTTGAACTCATGTTGTTACTGAGTTCATCTTTCCTCTCTGCTCTGAGTGAACTATATTGTGATCTGGTTCTTTTTAAAAGTGACTTCCCTTTCTCTCCATTATTATTATGTTTGTGTCCAGGTGGTGCGTGCTAAAGAGCGTCTAGACGAGGAACTAACTATTGAGACACAACAACAAAAGCAAGATAATACGGAAACATGAAGTATGAAACGATGCTCGCCCTGTCTTTCCTCTCCCCATCCTCTGTAAATTATAACCTAATAAAAGCCTTCTCTTTTTCTTTAGCCTTGATTTTGTGGCATTTTTTTTGGGCAGTGGGTGGCATTTTAAGACGCAAACATGAGACAGTTACGAGAATATGTGCTTATTATTTTTATAAATAGTCATATGTGAAATGTTACATGTGGTTTGCAGTGATCTAAAGCCACACAGAAATGCTTTATTTCGGCACAGTTTTGAGCTACTGTTGATTTTTAATTGCTGAAAAGCTGAATGCGGTGAGTGAAAGTGCAGCTTGTTGACTTTTAATCAGGGTAATATGATTGTTTTTATTCAGGTGAAGTGTTATTACAGCGCATGTCTGTCTAAAGGGGCACAATCACATTTACCTGGATGATTTCCATAATATATCATTTTATTGTACACCTGGAACAGAAATGAATACACAAGTTGTATCAAATACAACTTTATTAAACATTTTTCTTTTCATTGACATTATTATCAATATCGTAATAAAATTCCTCTAAAACAGGAGAACACCGCTATGTTGTACCAATTGGAGACTTTTACAACTCTAAAATTCTGCATGTTCAACCACAGAACATGATGCCAGGAAAAAATATATTTTCATATAATCATTTTTTTTCATATAGTGTATAACTTCTATATTTTACCTATAATAAAAAGGCACTTGGAAAAATTAAAATACTGACATAATATCTCACAAATGTGCAAAAAACATAACTTGGAACAGGCCTTGCATGGCCTTAGTCTTATCATTAACCCTTTGTGCAACCCTGTGGCACTTTAGTCAATGGCACCCCTTTACAATGACACTGACCTAGCTATCTAACACAAATTTTGTGCCCTGGATTTTCAGTTTCACTTTTCATAGCTTTAAGTGAGGGTTACTTTAAAATCTCCAGGAGCAAGTACCGCTTTTATAATATAAAAAAAACCAAAAGACTTTAAATTCAGACATTTTAACAACTGAGGATGATTTTTTTTTTTTACAATTATTCTTTGTTCCCAAACAAAAACAACTGATGAATTAACGCTTTACACTGAGGAAGGATGTGGCAGCATCCCCGCATCTACACATGCTATGAGGGGAACAAAAGTGCAGTTTATTACAGACTGAGCTCAAAGGGTTAATGGATCATACAGCTTATTTAATATTGAAAGGTTGTGGACCCTGGGAGGATCCGTGTCATATTATTCAGCTTTCTGCCGCCGGGCTGAGTCTCTGTCCCTGGCTTCGACCTGCAGAGGAGAGACAGACAGACAGACAGACAGACAGACAGACAGACAGACAGACGGGGGGAGGAGAGCATCTGTGGATTTCACTGTTGCCACGGAAACTGTGTCTAGCCTACTTAACACCTGTTTCTGATGACATCACACGCCAGAATTGTCCATTCATAACAACAGACTCAATATCGAGGCTGGACCCACAGACAGGCCACTGATGGGTGTGTGTGTGTGTGTGTGTCTCACAGGAAGGGGGGGCTGTCTGAGATAATGATGACTAAGAATTACAAAGGCAGAAACACAGGTATCACAGTTCATCTGTGGGCAGCCTGACACAGAGCTCGTCCTCAGACACGGAGGGTTATATTGGAGGGTTATTTGTTTTTTTTACTGTGAGTGTGTCTTGTTAGTTTGCCTGTTTTTCCCCATCTCTGGTGCAAAAAAAAAAAAAAAGCTTGATGGCCGGAAAGTGGGGGAGTTGAGCCTTTTGGGTTTAATCTGTAAAAAAAAAAAAAAAAAAAAACCCAGAGGGCAGACAGAGTTCAGTGGCCTAGTTTTTCTGCAGGCTGGTATGCCTGTGAGTGGCTGCCACATTGGGCACAGCACAGCCAGTGACTTCAGAGCAGAGAGGGCCGTTTGCTGGGTAGGTGGCCAGATGGAGGGCGGCTGCACAGCGCAGCTATCCTCTGCCTCGTTTCCACTGTTGGCACACAGCCTCTCCCCTCATCTCTCCCTGTCCCCCTGTCCATTCATTTATTCATTCAGCCAATCCTTTCTCTCTTTGCTCTCACGCCTTCCCAGAAACCATTTCACAGTCGGATGTTAGTTCTTAATGGTTTCCCTTTACCTGACCGTGGATATTAAAAGTCAGGACAAAGGAAGCTGAGTTTGCAAATCTTAGCTTTAGCTTAAATAGCTCAAATATAATTAATAGTCATCTTTTATGCCCACACCCTCTCTAAATGATCCTCAGTAAATCAATGTGATTGTCATGGAGGAATGTGATGTCATTTGGTCCACTGGACACCCCTAAATTTCCCCCCTAGAGCAGTGGTCTCCAATCTTTTCAGCTTGTGAACCCTTAAAGTAACATCATCTGTACGTATGAGCCCTAAGCACAGTTTATGGCCTTAGTTTTTGACATACTGTTGTGAGCAGTTTAACCAAAGAGTGATTTCTCCTTCCCAGGTTGTTTAATTTTAAAGGTTTTGCAGCCCTGAACTGGTAACCATATTCAGTATTTAACAAGAAACAAAACTAAGAGTTACTAAGAGTCTACAGCCATGCCAGCAACTCTGTGTGCTTTGAGCTACATGCTAATATCAGCATAACATGCCCGCAGTAACACATGCTTATGTTTGGCAGGTGATAATTTACCCGGTTCACCACCTTAGTTTAGCATATTATAATTCTAACATGATCTAATTAGCACTTTACACAAAGTAAAGATGAGGCTGATGAGAGATGATTAGTTTTGCAGTTATTTGGTGATAAAGCAAAACATTGGACAAAAAATAATAATTTTGACCTGATGATAGCACTAAATGAAAAGTTCAGGGTTAAGTTAATCCTGAGGGAAACAATGTCTGTACAACATTTCCATCCATTAGTTAATAGGCATTACACTTAAAAAGAAAAATGTCAACCTCATGGTGGCACTATGAAAAGTTAGGCGATCAAAAAAGTCAGTAGGATTTATCCTCTGGGCACCATTTTTGTACAGAATTTCATGGCAACCCATCCAAATAGTTGGTGAGATATTTCAGTCTGGACCAACAGGGTGGACTAACCATCCACTGAGCCACTCAGCTACCAAAGCTAAAAAGCAAAGTTACTGGAGAAAAGTCCCAAAAAGTTAACTTTTCCCCTCAATGTAATCATCTTGGGACCCTTTAGATTTATCCCAAACCCTGAGATTGGGAACCACTGCCCTAGAGGACCACCCAAACCTCTCCTCTCGTCTTCTCCTCAACCCCTCGAAAGACTCATCCTCGACAGCAGAAAGCTGAGTGCAGAGCAGCCGTCGCAGAACACAAGAAGCAACTTCAACATCAGAAAAAATGTTTCGTCTGAACAACAGCAAAAAAAACCAAAAAAAAACAGCAATAACTGATTATCTCTACGACTGGGCAATGGAAAAGTAAGACCACCAACATAAGCAGATAGGGAGAGGAGAGATCGAGGAGTCTCTTGAGGGAATGTTCCTTGTGTTGTGATGATCCTCTCCTGCTCCCCTACCTCTCCTCCGTGGAGACGGCAGTCAACATCACACATGCATTAGCACTGAGCAACACAAGCCTGGAAGGACCCCACAGCAAAACTGACCCTTGCAGGAAATGGAATAAGAGCAAACTATTTTTTTTTCAAAGAACCATGACTTGGCAGTAACATTTCATGAAACATGTAAGGAATATAATGTGTGGTAAGTGCATGTTGACTGCTTAATCAAACCGTGAGAAAAGTTTTCCCAGAAGTCAAATGAGTCTTTTTTTTCTCTCTTTTCTTTTTTTGCCCCTATGGACAGAGTAAAATGAGGCAGTTTGCAATAGTGTGGCTTCCTAGTCAGTCCAGCTGTATGTGGCATTGAGTGCATCACACCCCCCTCTGTGGCACAATACGTACATCCCTCTTTCCCCTCTCCAGGTATTTTTGGCACAGCACAGGACTTGTTGAACTAGGGACAAAAACCGACTAGGCTAAGTTGGGCTTCGACTAGACGACCGCCTGTTTTTCACAGCTGGTTTTGGGTTGGGTCACTTTTTTAAAATAAAAGACACTAGTGTTTATCACCACAGTGGCCCTTTCATACACAAACTGGCTGTGTTGATTCAATTACGGGAAAGCAGCTGGACAATCCAGAAGTGAAACAGTGCGAGTTCTGTAAATGGCACGCGGGATGTTGTGTATCATGTCCTACCAGAGGAGGGAGCCAGACACACCAGTGCCTTAATTCTCACTTGTGGAAAAGAGGAAGTGATGAATGGTCATTGCCAGGTGATGTAACACCATTTGTCTGTGTCAAGTCCTCCGTTCGCTCTGTGCCCTAAAAGCCCCTAGTCTGCACGCCTGGCACACATTCTTGTTGGTCACCTTCCCCGATCTGGGGATAGATTGTCAAAAGTGCTCTCTCCCAGTTTATGTTACACCGGGGGGAGCTGAGAGTTTAGCAGCAGTTTTGAGGTTTCAATACTATAACCAGTTGACACTATTAAGTGCTGTGTATAATTGAACTGTCTCAGAGCTGAAGCTGCAGCCCTTTCCTGGACAAATCCAAGACAGTTTCTGTTCACTTGCTTTGGTTTGGCAAGCCTGTCTGAATCATATTAATCACAGCAGCCCTGCGAAAAATAGGTCATAACTTTAAAATCAACTGTGGAGAATCGTCCTATTACGTGCACGTTTGCCTAACTATGAGTGCGTCATTCAGTTTCATGGTTGTATCTGTCTCACTGCTAAGCTGGAGGCACACTGTCGATGAAGTACAGTCATATAAATACTTATCAATGATATCAGGACTTTTGTAAGAACACAGAGCAATAAGACTGTCACGTTCATGGTCCCTGTCCACAGAACCAGCAAACAGGAATGAATAAAGTATAAAATAAGAGAGCAGAGAGGAGCCCATTGCCAGGCCTTGTGATAGAAATACGGAGCCATACACGATCCTGAACAGAGTTCTCGGGCCCCAGGTTTAGTTTCCCATCAATACAAGAGGCTTGCGTTGTATACTTAATTATTGTGAGGTGTAGTGTTATCTATTGTTCTGCTGTTTGAGGGTTTTGATGAGTTTCTCTGTAGTTTTCTCCTTTTCCAACCTCTCTCTGAAATGCATTGCCTGGATTTGATTGTGCGAGCCGATCCTTATCACCTTTGACCGCGTGTACCCTCACTATGGCGTTCACCCTCCCATCCCGACCCCCTGAGCTCTTCTGGAATGTGTGTGTGTGTGTGTGTGTGTGTGTGTGTGTGTGTGTGTGTGTGTGAGTGTGTGTGTGAGTGTGTGTGTGTGTGTGTGTGTGTGTGTGTGTATCAGTTGACCACAGCTGGCTTGAGCACCACAGTGCCTGGGGGGATGACCACCCAGGACAGGGGATCATGAGACCCTCCTGTGGAGAGGTTCAAGACCCTCCCAGTCACCTCGTTCTTGGCCTCCTCCTCCCCCAGGCTCTTCTTGGCCTGCTGGCTCTGCGCCCTGCGCTCAGACGAGGCCCCCAGCATGGGCACCATTGGCAGGCCCAGGGCCGAGGAGGGGAATGCTCCGGAGAGCAGAGGGGACTTGGCCAGGCCCAGCGGGGAGCCACTGAAGGACAGGATGGATCCCATGCTGCCTGGAGGTGAGCTGGGGCAACCTAGTGTGCTGAGGTCCAGGGGCCGAGGACTGAGCGGGGACAGGGGCAGGGCACCACCAAGACCCTGCAGAGCATGGCCTCCCAGGAGGGCGGCCGCCGCGCCTGGGATGATGATGTGGGCTGCACTCACATAAGACAGCTCTGAATCCTTTCCCACTTCGCTAACAAGCACTCCGCTTTGACTCCCCTTTAGCAGGGAGCCCACCCCACCTGGGGAGCCATGTTCCTGAGCCACAAAGTGGCCGTGGGCCTTGATGTGCTTGCGGAGAGAGCTGGGGTCTGTGTAGCGCTTCAGGCAGCCCACCATTTTGCAGTAGTAGGGCTTGTCCACATAGTGTGTGCGTGTGTGCTTGAAGCGGTCGCTGGAGTTGGAGTAACGCTTGTTGCAACCCTCGTAAGGACAAATGTAGGGCTTTTCACCTGCAGTGAGGAGAAATGATCCAATTTTACTTTACAAAAATTAAGAAAACATATTGATTTTAGCAAAAGGACAAACATTTTTTAAATATAAAGCTCTGTAAGTCTCAATTTTATAGCAAACACATATTTGTCATTTGTGCTCCATTTCGATCCACCACTGACCTGTGTGTGACCGGTTGTGTATCTTGAGGTTCTCCAAGCGTGAGAAGCTCTTATTGCAGGTGGGACAGCGGTGGGGCTTCTCGTTAGTGTGAGTGCGGATGTGGATGAGCATCTTGTACCTGCAGCCACACAAAAATGCGTTCATTCTAGTAGCTTCCTCTTGAATTCTCCCCTAAATTACCCAAGTATATGATTTTCTCACCGAGCATTGAAACCCCTCCCTTTGCGAGCGCAGCCCTCCCAGTGGCAGCAGTATCCAGAATCCTTTTCAGGTTTGACATGGAAGTCATTGACATGATCCACCAAGTCTTGCAGGGAGTCAAAGAGCAGATGGCACTGGAGGAGGGAAAACATTCATCATTTCAAATGAATCGTTGTGCCAATAAAGCTTTGATCTGATCCTAGTTTGGCTGTAGCAGGATCATAAAATGGGTTTGCTTTACTTACCTTCTTCCAGCGACAGGCCAGTTGTTCATCCGCTGAGAGGTCAGGAGAGGCTCTCTTGTCACTCGTCTGGCCAATGAACATGGAGGATGGCAGGTGAAGTCCCGCCCCAGCTCCAATTGGCACAAAAAACTGAAAGGCTTGTGAGATGTGAGAATTCTGATAAAACAGAAAGAGAACAAAAAGAACGACAGGGTTATTAATCCATTACACACAGGAGAAAGATGCAAGCAGAAGCTTCAGTTCGTGTTTACTGTGATCTGCTTCAAGAAAAATGTTGACAATTATGACTGTCTAAAGGTAGTCGGCAGTATGAACTCAACCAGCTAATGACAAAAATAGATACTGATGGACTCGCTGAGAAAATACTTTAACAACAGTCATTCTTTTGGTCAATAGAGTACAGAACTGCCGATCTTTGTCTTTCCCTTCAAACTTGTTCTCTTGTAGTCACCCACTGTGTGCTACAAAACCTCCCTACATCCCTGAGCGCTGCATGAGAGCTGTAAGATTCACTGAACCTCAGCTGGGGCTCAAAGAGCTAATGCAACAGCTCACACACGGAGTAACTTAGTCACGATGAAATGTGGAATTTAGAATAAGGGACACATAAGTTGTGTTGAGCTGTGTCTTCTGAGAGTATGGACGAAGAGAGAGAGAGAGAGAGAGAGAGAGAGAGAACAAGGGTGCAAATGGATCACAATCCTGTTGCTGTCTCATCGTCTTCAGCTATTTCAGAAATGTGTATGTGACAAATTTCATAAAATGAGACCAATCCCCTGCGCTGAGCTCTGCCTCTGCATGCAAAACTATGTGAGCTGCTTTGTGAGATGCTGCAGGGGAGAGAACATGTGAGTGTGAGTGTGTGCAGCTGTTCCTCTATAAGAGGCGCTTCATTTTGTGTATGAGAGAGAGAGTAAGTGGAGGAGAAAGCGCCCTATCTGTGTCCACGGGGGATAAGTAAAGTGTAGGGTGTGTGTCATGGTGGGGTCGGGGCTATGTAGGTCTCCGTGGGACGAGGGGCGGCTGAATGGTCCCAGCCAGCGTGTCTCAATTCAATTGAGAGGGAATTGAATTATGCGGCGTGAGGTCTGCATGGCTGTACCTTGTCTTAAATCGGATTATACGCACACACGCATACACACAGGCGCACACATACACACACGTCATGCCAGTGGGGCCGCTGAGTGCAACTTGCACAGACAGAGGCACTTGTTGGGGACACAAGAGGTGTTTGATAAGAACTACCCCCTCCTCTCTCTCTCACACACACACACACACACACACACACACACACACACACACACACACACAGGCCTCCCACCCCTTGCATAGCCTGATTCCCTTATGGAGAGTGTGACACAACCCGATGTTGTTCCTGATTTGCTGACCCCAGCAGGCTGAGTCACTCACCGCTGCAGACAGGAAAGTGTTGGCCTCTCACTAACTGCACTGGAAGACTGTGATTATTCTTTCAACAACTCAGAGATGAAGAAAAAGTATGAGAGAGCAAGGGGAAATAATAGAAGTATTGGTGGCCAAAATAAAATCTGGTAAAAGCTAAAGTGGACTGTACTGGTGTGTAGGTTTGTGTGTGTGTGTGTGTGTGTGTGTGTGTGTGTGTGTGTGTGTGTGTGTGTGTGTGTGTGTGTGTGTTTTAGCTCAATCATACTCACCCCTGAGGGGACATAGTTGCCATTGGTCATTTCTGGAGAGCTGGGGGTGTGGCGGGAGGAGGGAGACATGCTCAGGTCCACTGCAGGGGGTGTGGGGGTGTCTGTTCGATCATGAGGGACTACCTGCACACCTGAAAAAACAAACACACACCTGTTACGGTGTCCTCTCACCTGGGGGATCTGATACGGGTATACTCTGTCCCATTTGCTCTAGGGATGGCAATGTTGCTCGGGGAGTTAGTCCACCACTTTGGTTCAGTCTATCTAACTACAGGATGGACTGACCTCCAGTATTTTGTACAGATATTCATGGCAGGATAAATCCTAATGACTGATTTAGCTCAAACCACCGTGTCAAAGTACTGCCTAACAGAGCCGCTATCAAGACTGTAGAGTCTTAGGCTTTTTTTGTTGTCACCTACCTGTGTGCGGAGATGCTGGCGAGGCTGGCTCTATGACTGCGGTGCCATCATCTGCCATGCGGAGCTGGCGAGCTCGCTTGGGGTGCAGTGAGAGGGGGGGTGAGCGGGCCCCTCTGTCCCTCCCATTGGCCCGTCGAGGGAGCTTCAGGTCCAGGGGCTCGTCTAGCGACAGCATGGCTGCAACTTGCTGACCTCCCACCTGCACAAACAGTCACAGACGGGCAGAGTTACGCCGCGTGGGAGCAATGAAGAATAGCCTGGTTTTCATATAACCACACATACAATGAAAAGCTGCAATCCAGTGTGAAACAGTGACAGACTGCAGAAGACAGATTCTCACACCTGCAATATTTCCCATGTGAATGTTGTTGAAAGTATCTCACATTCCACAATCCCACTGGGTAAGAAATACTCTCTAACAATGATAAACCGACCACAACCGTAAAACTGAAACACTGAGTAAGCCAAAGAAAAATAAACACACACACACGTAGAGATCTGAGTGACCCCCCTCCTCCTTTTCCACACTGACCTTTACTCACACACTCTTCCTGAGGAATGTCTACAATCCAATCCAGATGGTCACCCTCACCGCCAGCCCTGCTTCACCCCAACCCTTGGCCAGTTACTGGCCCTTGCACCCGGTCACATCAACCCCCCCCCCACCGTGTGCACCTTCAGACCCCATGGACCTTTGAGACCCACCGGCAACCCCCTAGGCCTTCAAGTCCAGCTGCACCCACTCTGTCCACCTCCTCCCTCCTCTAAACACACTGACCTCTGGACCCAGCCTGAGGGTTGTGGGCAGGCCGCTTCATCTAGCTGTCATTTTGAGTTCCTGTTGTAGTCTTTCTATGCCACCAGGCTGACCCAGCATCACTGTTTTGTACCATACAAAGAATTTAGCGAACACCTACACAACCAAATATCCAATTGAACCCTGTTAATCAAGTTTGAAACATCAGAAACAATCATAAACTTAAATGTAAATAAATGCTGAGTCTATTCTTCATCCAGCATGTACTGCTTTACATATATAGGCAGTGCCAGTACCATACTGCTGGTTTATAGCCAAGCTCTCCATTCAGCACAATGTATTAAGGTTCACTGCTCCTTCTCACCAGGCTCACACACACACACACACACACACACACACACGAGTTGCAGGGTGTCCTATATTCCTGCTCGAGTTCATGTAGAACAGCTCCCTGTGTGCATGTTGAGCGTACACCATACACAGTCATACTTACAGACACACACACACACACACACACACAATTAATCAAACTGTAATTTCAACAAATTCACCCTTCCTCCCTCTCCCTCACACACACACACACACACACAGAAGCCAAGGTTGGTAGTGAATGGTGGGCTTTGAGAGCGACTGGCCAGGGGCCACATGAGAAGCCCTTGTGTCTGGGAGGCACGGAGCAGAGAGGTCACCAGGTTCACCAGCCCAACGAGGGATGGCCACCAGCTCACACACACACACACACACACACACACACACACACACACACACAGACACACACACACACACACACACATACACACAGCTAGAGGGGGTGGGGGGGGTGTACAGACTCAATCAGCCGTAGATAAGAGGATGATGATACACAAACTTACTGATGCGAACATAGAAACATACTGTAGCATTATCTGTGAGATCTGTCTGTGCTGCTTTTATATACATATATACACACACACACACTCATGTTCCTCACAAGCACATAAAGACACATTTTAGGTCAAATAACCTTTGGTTTTTATCTGATTATAGACCACACTGACAAGCACATGACCCACCGGCCAAATGACTTAACACTGGTGATAATTTAAAACACAAAGAGCAGGAAAACCCCTCAGAAGCATGCTCCGTGCTAGGAGAAGGTTGTTCAAAAGAACTACATGCTAGAATTATAAAAGGCATTTCCAACAAGCTGCAGTCAGGCAGTAACAAAATCAAATACATCAACACTTCAGGTTTCAAAATTACATTGGAATTGCACCATGTAGGGACCAATGACTCTTTTCTTTTCTGAACAAAGAGATTTAACCACATCAGTATTGTATACCTTGACACATACTTAATGAATTATTTCTACCAGTTCAACCCAATTGTGTAATGATAAAGGAGAAGTATTACTGGCAGTAGCTCTATTGATCATTTTTGACCATAGAGTTTGTTATGTGGGCAAACACTGTCATTAGCCATGAAAATGTTTAGATCTGTCAGAACGGATATGATCCTCTTTTAGAAAGAGCTGCGGTTAATACCACATCTCTGTTTGTCTCTCTCTCTCTCTCTCTCTTTCCTCTGGACTGGGTGGGTATGACTAACTTACTGTAACTCCTGCCATACAGGCTGCCAAGAGTTTGGGCTTATTGTTTGGCTAAAATAGCAGAAAATCATCTGTCATCCACTTTAACTGAGTAAAAGCCCTCACCCTGAGGCACAGACCAGGAATCAGCTTAACCTTTCTACAAATCCTACTCTCATCCACTATGGGGACAAATACAAAACCGGCCTACCATCAGTTCTATAATCCATGCTATAAAACACGATGAGAAACAGATATGAAACTTTTTGATTCATATGGATCCATAAATCAATTTGGCACTTCAAATCATGTGATCCTACATCTCTCACAGTGAGACCAGCAGAGAGACACTAAAGGGGTCTCCAAACACAAAAGCTCTTCTCAGGCGGCTCCTCCACGTGCAAACCATTACTATACCTCCGTTATGGATTGTATGGCTCATCTTTCATAATTTTTTATAAGCCGGCCTCCATTGCTATCCCACTCCCGCTCAAACAACATTTGTTCTTTATCTCATATAATAAAGAGCATTGTTGTATTATTCAGCTTGTTGCAGGTTCTAGGAGGAGAAATGGCCATTTAAATTAGCAGTATGTCATGTGTCATCGTGTAAATATTTCAGTTGTTTCCAATAAAGTGAACCTGTTTCCAGCATTTTATTACTATTACGACGACCTATTAAAGCCGGAAAGATTAGCTGATTAATCCATTTGTCAACTGACAGAACATTTTTGATAATCAGTTTATCCTTTAACTCAGTTTTCAAACATCACCGGTTCCAGTTTAAATGAGAACAATTGGAAATTCAGTTCATGGATGGCTGTGTTAAGGTCAAACAGAGATTGACTTTGAAATTAGTTATTCATAAATATTAAATGCCGAAGGGGAGGATTTGAGCATACAGTGTTTTGAGAAAGCAGAAAATGTGGTTGAAATTATTTTGTTTGTTATATTCGACCTTTCTTTTAATTAATTCCATTCCTGGAAAGATGAAAGCTTGCATTTGCCAAAGAATATTATAAAAAATCTGAATATTTATAGTTATTTGTATTTCTGTTGTAATTTTTCATCAACTTAGAGTAATAATATTTTGTACACAGTATTTTTTTAAGAAAGGGATGTTGATAATGTTGTTTTGTGTAGATGGTATGTCACATGACTGATCTATTAATTGTATATGAGAACCTTAGACGGGCAAGGTAGCTGAACACATCTAGTGAATAAAGCATTTTGTATTTTGATGGACTGGTCTGCACCTCTCTATGTGTGCGTTCTCAAAGACGTTTTTGCCAAGAAACAGACAAGTCAAATGAAAAAAAGGGGATTAACCTCACACTTTCTCGGACTTCCGAGAAACTCAACTGGTCATAAGATATCTATAATACCTGCCACAGCACCCAAAGCAGTCCATACCGCACTAATGTGTTCCCAGTGGAGTTGGCCAGTGCAGCTCCTGAGAAAATCAGTCCCCTCTGCTGCATTTCACCTCAGCCCACCCGCATAATTATTTCTTGGTGGAGAAATAGTAGAGACTGGCTGGGAAGTGACTCACAGTGTGTGGATTTTGGACTGAAGTTACAGGATTTTGACTACATCCTCCAAACAGCCACGGTCACTGAGAGGGGGTTTGCGGGAAATGTGAGACAAAGAGAAGAAAAGGCCAACTGAGAGATACAGAGAAGGACGGAGTATGGTGTCGTCTGTGTATGCATGCCTTCGTGATATGCCAGTGTGTGTAAAGCTCAGTGGCGGATGGCTGTGAAGTTTGTGGAAGGGGTGTTGGCTGGCCCCCATGCAGACTTCCTTGCTCAGCCGTGGGGTCGACAGTCTCTCTGAAAGACGGCATTGTCCCTTCTCTTGGCCCTCTCTTTCCCTCTAACAGAGTAAACACAGGCACCAGCAGCTGAACGGGAGAGAGAGAGAGGAGAGGATGACGGAAGGGGCCACAGTGAGGATATACGGGGGTGAGGATGAAGGGAGGAGGAAGTTGAGGAGGAAGAAGAGTCCTGAAAGAGAGGGTTTGTGCGTGTGTCGTCTTTAGCAACCCCCATCACCTATTCCCCTGCATAACCCTTTCCCACCCGAATCCCACATCCACCCTACTGCATTAGGATACCGCCCAAAGTCCCTTTGATGAGGTATGGGGTGTATGTGTTCGGGGGGTGAAGAGGAGTTGGCCGATGGGTGAGGGAGCGCAGGGGGGCATCAGGTCGAAGAAGGAGGGATGTGTTTCAACACCTCCATGCTCTGAGGCTAGGCTCACATGGATCAGCGCTGACCCTTTACCCTGCTCTGAACCGACTGATCCACAGCCTGATCTGAGGATAGGTTCAATCTCCTCAATCTGATGGTGCAGCGCCAACAAAAAGCATCACAGAATATCAAAACTGTGCAGCATAAGATGATTATGTTGCAGGGTCTGAAATCAGATTGTGAAATATTTTGTTTTCTGTGAGGGGTTCCAAGACTGAGAGAGTGTGTGTGTGTGTGTGTGTGTGTGTGTGTGTGTGTGTGTGTGTGTGTGTGTGTGTGTGTGTGTGAACACTTTTTGTGTGACCCCCTCTGAGGCTGGCTGTAACTTAATCTGCCTCCTACTGTGACCCTGGGAGGTGGTCTGCAGGAGGTAAGCCATCTCTCCTCAGGGCTCTTTGCTCTCTCTTTTTTCACTCTCACACACAAACACACAGTATTTAGAGAGAGAGAGAGAGAGAGAGAGAGAGAGAGAGAGAGAACTGCGAGCAACGGAGGGTATTGATGCGATAGTTGGTGTGATTCTGAAAGGCTTCAATGTGTTTTAAAATAACCGTGCAGTGATACAATGTACTTACAGGAAGCAGAAATTCCTGCATACAGAAGAAGTGATAGAACTGGGTAT